GTTGGTAATTAATAATTTTCTACTCGTTCTCTCTCTCTCTCTCTCTCTCTCTCGCTCGCTCGATCATTCACTCACTCTCTCACTCACTCACTCACTCACTCACTCACTCATTCACTCACTCACTCACTCAATCACTCACTCAGTCACTCACTCGCTCACTCATTCACTCACTCGTTCACTCACTCACTCACTCACTCACTCACTCACTCACTTACTCGCTCACTCAATCACTCACTCACTCATTTACTTTCTCTCTCTTTCTCTGTATCCAAAAAGTAAATCGAATACACAATTATATATTTTAATGACAAGAATACGGCAGTACTACATAAGAAAACCATTTTGAGGATCAAAGCAGCTTGGATTTATATAACTCAACAGATCATTCTCCGACATCGAGGTAAGCTCTTGAGGCAACATGCCATCTTCCTGTTTTCTAACCGTTGTACCATTCGTACTGTTTGCCGTATTTGTTATAGGTGGGTTTACGTTTTGTCTATTAGGTGTCACAGGTAAGGCAACCGGTGGTGATTTATTCGCTACCTGTTCAACAATATTACTCTGGTTGGAAGGTGATTTAGGTAAAATACCTTCCATAGCACTGTTCATTAATTGCGCACTTTGAGTAGCCACGCTGTTTAATATATTTTTTGTCGCGATAATTGCATGCGCGGTGGTCGTGGTAATAGGTCGATTATTAATAATATCCTGAGTAGCGTTAGTAATTACATTATTAATCGCTTGTTCCGCGGCATTGGTTAATCTCTGCTGCGATGGTTCTTGAGCCGCTCCACTCGCTAAAGCAGAACTAGCCTCGGCAACGAAACCTGCCGGTTGATTTAACATAGAACCAATATCTTGCTGTACCGCTTGCTGCATCGCTTGAGCTGCTTGCGCTTGCTGAACCGCTTGTTGAACCGCTTGAACTTGTTGTACAACTTCCTGCGTAGCCTGTTGTACCGCTTGCTGGACCACTTCCTGCGTAGCTTGCTGCACAGCTTGTTGAACAGCCGGCACGGCCTGAACTTGTTGTACCGCTTGCACTTGTTGCACAGCTTGTTGGACAACCTGTGCATGCTGCACCACGTGTTGAACGACTTGCTGTTGTGCCTGCTGCACCGCTTGTACCGCTTGTTGCTGAGCCTGGGCGACAACTTGTTCAACTTGTTGTTGTGCATGCGCGACAACCTGTTCCACTTGTTGCGCTTGCTGCATCGCTACAACATCTTGCTGTATAAGAGCCGGAATCTGCGGAATATGCTCCGCCGCTGTCGACATAGTCTCGTTCGTAACTTGTAACGGATTATGAGATGGTACACTAACGTTAGAATTCGACGTACCGGTCGCAGTCACTGTTGGTTCCTGCATCGGCGGCAATAAAGCGGCGTTGATAGTGGTGAGCAAACTGTCGCCATTAGCCTGTTCCGGAACCACAGATGCGGGCGATGAAACGGACGTGGCGCCATTTCCTGGTAAAGATGGCACGGCCTGTGGCGGCATCAACGCTTCGAGAAGCATCGTCTTGACCGGAATGGGTGGGCTAGTTCTACTTTGTTGGGGACTCGAGATCGTTTCGTGATCGGTAACTGCGGAAACATGACTCATTATGGTATTATTATTAGGATTCACGGTACGCAGAGGCGACACCAATTGATGAGATTCAGCGCCAGAATTAACGAGGGTATCTAATTTGACGCCTGGAGAGGGAGAAGCTAAAATATTGGAAGCTTGTCCTTGTTGAGGTTGTCGTCCTGTGGTAATAATGGAAGCTCGTTGCTGTATAGTACCTACAAATCCGTTTTCTTGATTCTCAGCCTCTTTGACGTTAGACTCGATATGATTAAGGTATTTCTCTACGCTATGGCCACTCTGTGCAGGCAGTTGTCCGTTCGGCGTTCCGGTAAAATTTGTTAGCGTATCGAACTCCGTCTGATGATGCTTCATGCGAAGATCAACAACACCGCCGCCCTGAAGACTTCCATTAGGAGTGCCTTCTACCGGCAATATCGAGTTAGTTTCTTTGTTGATATGATGAGGACTTAGAACTTTGACTTGAGACGAGTCGTGCATACCTCCGAACGTGTTTTGGTGCGTCGAAACCATCGACAACTGATGCTGGTTTCGCATTAGATCTACCACGCCGAGAAGATTGACCGCCTCCTGTACAGGTGAACCGTTCGCCGCCACAGGGACCGATCTGATGATATTAGCCTGCGGCGTTTCCCTCGAGTTCTCGCTCACCAACTGTTGCAACGGGCTGGTACCCGTCGAGCCATTCGCGGTCGGGGTCGGTATGCTTTGCATGCTGTTTTCGCTGATCATACTGTTCTCACTATTCTCGTCCAGGACCTCGGTCTTCAAATTATCTAACAAACTCAATTGAAGATTCGAAGATGATCTACGGCTTAGCAGCGGATTCGCAACCAAAGCCGGCGGTGGCATCATCACGTCAGGCGGTGAATTTTTGCAATTAGGACTTTGCGCTGCCCACATCATAACTGATGTTACCTGAGATGACGCTGTGACCGGTGGTGGGCTCGGATCGTTCTTAAGCGCCTCCGTTTTTTGGACGGTGGTTGTTGCGCTGGTATAGTTGTCAAGAAATTTGCCGTTCCTGCGGTTGCTTGTGTAATCAGAGCTGAAAATATTCAGTCATTTCGAGCATATAAGCTTTAACGCACTCGACACTTTTATAACATTGTACAAGCGCAAGGATGAATTTTACTTATGTTCAAAGATGGAGAATCCACTTACTGTTCGGTGATACACCTTTAGTCAGGGGCACCGCTACGGGAGACGTTGCCAATGCAACTTCGCCGTTCGTGGTGGACAGAGGTGGAGTTATCGGCTCAACTTTACCCACCGATGGTTCGGGTGGTGTGGACGCGGCGGTGTAAAGAAACGTGTGAGGCTCGCTCGTCTTTCCAGACGATACCGCGTACAATTTAACGCTAACCGTTTCTGAGGGTGCCAGATCTTGTCGCCTGTACGCTGGTACGACGCAAACCAGATGAGTTTGCTGCAGGAACTCCTTGTCGGGTAGGACCGCGCATTCCCAATGAGGTTCCAAACTGCTCGACAGATTGTCGTTGTCCAGTTGAAACACGACCCGTGTATCCTTCAAAAAGTTCTTCCCAAGTATAAATAATTCCAATCCTCCGGTGCACGGACACGACGTGAGCGATTTCTTACAGATCTCCGGTATTCCCGGCGGCTGGGCTGAACGATCGATCAGATGTAATTTCGGCTATAAATTACGGCAAGTATTCCAAGATGGAGGATTCTGGTCGCAATTACTTACTGCAAACTATCGGTTGCGAACAAACTTGCAAAGTTTCCGTCGTACCGTCGGGATGAGTGATCGTCGTACGGAAAACCATACGACAACGGGTCGATTCTTTTTGCTGCGTCCCTGAAGCACTCCGGCTTCCTGAGGGAATCTGTGCTCCACGTCCACGTTCCGTTCCTTCAAAATACCGACGCAATCGCACGTGACTAACATGTCCTTGGCCGGATCCATGTCCACCTCGATCACGATCGTGCCGTCGATCTTGCGTTCCACGCACGGTGTCGAATTTTTGCCGCTCACCCGGCACGCTTGATAAAACATGTGGGGCGCCACACGGCCGAGATCCGTGCCAATGAAAACTTGAAGCGTGGTCGGTTTGTCGTAGCCGACCAGGCGGACGATCGGGAACCCATTCCCGGTTCGATCCTTCACCGCTCCTCTCGAGCCTTCCGTTTGGTAGCGAGCCCTGTGCTGTTGCTCCGGTTGACAGATAATTTGCAATTGCACCTTTCCATCCGCGGAAGAGTTACCTGAAAGTTGTAACGAAATCGTATTAAAAAAAAAAAACTGTGTTAGAGAGAATTCGATTTAATCGTCGAGATATATATATATAAAATGATCGTCTCTTCGAAATGATTTAGTCTCTTTAGTAAAAAAAATTTCTTCTCTAAAAAGGAGGACCAACTTGAGAAATAGAATTGTGCAACCAACTCCATTCTAAAGATAAAGGTCGATGGTATAATTATATCGCTTTATCGCGAGGAGACGAAACCAACCGACGGGGGGACTATCAACGATAATTTGACGAGCGGAAGAAGGATCGAGTTCTCATTTTAATAAAAGCAAGGGGGAAACAGAAGTGTATGTTCACAAGTTACATAAACTCTCGTTTGACCTACATTCGATATCGCGTTTTCGTATCAGCGAAAGAGTATCGATGATTTATTTTAACCTACTACTACTACTACTACTACTAGGTTTCCTAAAACATCGAAGATAACGTATCTCGTTCGTGAGAGGTGAAAAATTTCGCCGGAAATCAAGAAGACAAGGCTTCGTCGAGTGTGCTACGCTCGGTCGGTAACGAAGTGTCGCGAGCAAACAAACGAGGATCGGGAGAAGTGGCGAAGGTTATCGGTTTGCATCATCCTCTAATAAGATGGCACAGTCGCGTTCGAACGTCTCGTCTCCCCTCGTTTCTCTTCTTTGTTTACATCTTCGTATCCAGATGCAAACAAGCACGAATCTTCACGCGCGAATTACGCTCCCCGATGATTTATCTAACAAGGCAAACTCGCGCCTCCGTTAAAATTTACAATTAGCACACGCGGCCGACAATATAAACAGGCGAGCGGCGCGCAACGATCGCCTCGGCGAATCAAAACTCTCTTCAAAATTCTCTTCCAAATTCGTCGAGACGAATTCAACGAGCGACGACGAGCCGTTATCTCGTGACCTCGCAAAGACCTCGCGGTATCTCAACCGAAAAACCGCAATATCAACGGCAATAAATTTTCAAATCCGTCAAAACCGAGAGTTTCTTCTTCTTCGTCTCGACGACGATGATCGATAAATTTAGCGCCGTTCGTTTCGATTTTTAATCCCTTTCAATTTTCTTTATCTCTATAAACTTATAAAAATTAAAAAAGGAATCCTCGAATTTACATTTACAAAGTTAACATCCCCGGTGAAATCTTTAGGGTAAAAAAAAAGTTAGGAAAGAGAGACACAAAGGAAGAAAAGATAAGAAGAGACACGTGTCCAACACGTACACAATTGAGAGGTGAGGGTGACCGGGCCCTGTTGAGCCGTGGACGCTCTCTTGGCGAGCACGCCCAATCCGGACCGGGATCTCGAGACCTCGACCACCCTCCCCGTTCCACCATTCCCCTGCCTGCTCCCGGAGATCGTGGCCAATCCTCCTATCCCGTTCGACGCGCCCCTCGTGGCCGCCGCCTTCGCCTCGGGGCTGGCCGCGTGTCCAACCTCCGGAAACGGGAAGTTGGCGTCCTCGGACTCGAGCTTGATGTCCATCTTCCTCCTCTTCGAGTCTTCCTCGCCGGCTCCGTTCCAAGCCTGTTAAACCAAGCAAGCACAACGGATTGATATCTAGAGAGGCATCGTGTGTGTGTGCGCGCGCGATGCACAGCCAATTTAACGAATGAAACGGACGAGATCGGGGGGGAGCCCGCCCGGGTTCAACCACCGTTAGAGACCGGTCACTCGCGTCCAACGCAACGACCGATCCCGTACGCGTGATCGCGTTAGATCTTCGCCCGCACGTGCACGATGTACAAGCGTGGCGAGGCTTTTGGAGGGGGGATGAGTTCGAACTCGTTTCGAGGGGTGATGCCCCCTTGGGAAACTCGGAGCGATCGGGAATGGAGGGGGCGAGGTTTTTTGTTCGAAAAATGAATTCTTCTCTATTCGAAGGTAAAAAATCGCGAATGTTCAGGGGGCGAGAATCTGTTTCGTATTTCTGGAAAAGAGAGAAAGATATAATCTTCGATGTATCGATATCAATGGTTCAATCGTAACATTTACCCAATTATCAGAGACACGAGTATCGCGTCGTGAGCAGAGGATTTTATTGAAACGTTTTCGATCTTCACGAGGCTTCGTATATAGCGATACAGTACTTACGTACGCTGACGTTTGCCGACGTTTGCCATCTTTGCCGTCCGTATATCGTGTTGTTACGCAATACGCGAACCGGGAATAAGTTATCATTGCATGTATCGATATCAATCAAAACTCGCACACCGCGGACGCACGCGTGTTTCTGCAATGTGTCGATGATGGCATCGTGAGGAGACAGAGAGAGAGAGAGAGAGAGAGAAAGGAAAAAAGAAAAGAAAATTTTTAATTTTTTTTTTTTTTTTTTGAGAAGATACTCGTGGGAAGAAAAAAAAGGAAATAGAAAAGAGAAAGAGAGATTTCTTTCGAGTAGAGAGATAATATTTCTTTCGTGTAAAAGATAGGAAGAAGCAAATAGATTCGAGGGTGAACAATTCTCGAAAATTTTACTCTCAAACGTATTTGCATCTATTCTCGAGAATAAAAGAGAAGAGGGGGGGGGGGGAAGGAGAAAGAGAAGGGATTTCTTTCGAATATCATGAGATATTAGGCGCACGTTTCTAATAGTTTATATTTTTTTTTTTTTTTAATTTTAATAGGACGTTGATTGAATCGACACAGGGATTGCGAGGGATAAAAATAAGGGATAAATATGGAGGTAGGGAACGCAACAATTTCGAGATTTTGTTATAACGGGTAATGCTTACGTTCTTTTCTCTCTCCTTTCTCTCTGAATTCTCAATAATAGGGAAAATTCGCCGACTAGTGCAACAATATGCCGCTCGATAACGGCGCAAATGTAACGCCATTTTGCGGCGATAATCGTCGATAACACTATTCTGTCAGTCGCTTTTGTCACGTTCATGATAACCCGTCGCGACACATAAACAAAATTCTAAACTATCGAACGTTAACACGTGATAAGTAAACGTGTTTCTACTATTATTTAAGGGTATTTAGAAATAGAAATTATTCTTTTAATATATTCGCTTTATCTTGAGTGTATAAAAATATATATATATATATATAATTTTTTACAGTATAACCCCCACTATTTTAACCGGTACTTTGGATATTTTATGGACAATCATTCACAAAAGCTTATGTTTTATGCTAGATTATTTTCATTAAAATAAATTATATGTAATGCAATAATAAAATTTGCATTTATTTTTTTAATAAAATAATTTATAAATCTTTTTACATTCTATTTCATTTCACTTTTAATAAATAAATTTTTGCGAATGATTGTGAATGTTTCTATATTCTTTTCAATTGGACAAATATTTCAAGATAGAGTATAATTCTCTCTATGCTATCGATTGTAAACTTGAGACCGTCTTTTCTTAAAATTTAATATTATACTGTCACGACGATAATCACGGTAATAATAATCTTAATATGTTTCTATTTTCTATACTGTTTTCGTATTATTAGTTTCTTGAAAACGTATCACTGTGCGAATCATCAATGTACGTGTTTTTACGTTTCATTCCAAGTTAAACAATAAAATTTCTATGTACACAAAATTTTAAGCGTTAGCTCGAGCTTAATCCTTCTCGACGTATCGATCAAATCTTTTTGGATTCGACAATGCCCGTTCTGTTATTTTATCAATAAACGTTTCAAATATAATATAAAAAATATATTAGGTCAAAAAGTTCAACATCGATATTAAATAGTTGACAGGCTCTTTTTTTGCGTTCGATGATTAGTCAAAGATGGTATAAAAAAGATTATAAGCAGTGTTGATATGAATTAGCACGGCTGAATAAGTAATTTTTTATCTCTTCTCTAATTTAATATTCTGAAATGAGAAATATTAAAACACACGTAAAGTATAATTTATTGCACCGTGAATAAAATTTTAGTATTCGAGGAGTAAAGGCCTGAATAGAACGTACCACCCTTAATTTTCTTTATCGATTTATCAAAGTATCGCAGAAAGGAAATTTAGTAAAAAAAAAAAAAAAAGGGAAAAAAAAACTAACTGAAACTTAGATAAAAATAAAATATCAAAATACATCAGATACGTTTTGAAATCAGAAGATAGAAAAACCCAAATAAAAGATTGACAAATGTTCCAGAAAAATGTGCTCGAAAGATATCGAGAATATTTGCAAATCATGTTTTAAAATAGATTTAGGAAAAGAGACAGATGACTGGTCTCATGACTAGATTAAAACTTGTTTACTTATTAATATTTTATGATGCATAATACTGTTAATGTTAATTTAGATCAACATTGTTTCCGTTTTGATAAATGAACTCATAAAACACGTACATCCTTCTAAATCATGGTAAACAAATATTATTTTTTTTTTATCACGAATCTCCGAGCGCCCTATCTTCCTTCTGAAAACTAACTTTACTAACTTTTTCAAATTTTTCATTATCAATTTAATCCTCGAACATTGGAACTCTCAACTTATCTAACTTATTGATTTTTACCAAATTGACGAACAAAATTCAACATCAAGATCGTATAAATTTTCCACCAAACAGGAGATCGATCCTTGACAACCGAGGTACCACATCTATATTTCTTCCAATAATTTCAATTCGATACTTAAATTTAAAGTTGGTGTTATTTCAAACAAAAAAAAAAATATTTTACTATCCTTCCATGAAGAAAATTAATACAGGAAATATAGAAGTGGGTCGATCCGATTGTCGACGAAAAGCATGATAAATTGCCCAAGCCTATGATTTCGAGCCTATCTTTCGATCTATTACTGTCTAACCATCATACTTCACTAACGTTTGCGTTCGCGAGATGTTGATGACGGTCCTCGAAACCGAGGCCGGAATCGTTCGAGTTATCGCAACTGTCCTGTGCCGAGTTGGCCCTCGCCCCGTGCTCATCCGAGTTTCGTAAGGATCCCAGCGGTATCCTCGGCTGTTGCTGTAACTGCGGTTGCTGCTGCTGTTGGCGTTGCTGATGGCTTATTCTCCTAGAGGCAGAATGCGCACGGTTGCTCGACGTGACGGTGCTTCTTTGAACCGATCCTGTCACCGCTGACAACCTTTCTCCTGCATTGTAACCTGAAATCAAAATAAAATTGTCAGTACGTACGTACGTGTTATACTGCGAAATTCAGATCGTCCAATTGCTTTTTCAATGGAATCGTGTTATCATTATATTTTCTATTTTCTCAAGGATTGAATCATTCGCTGTCTTAGTCAGTTGCCCTTTGCAGTCGTATTGTCCTGGGTATACTTTCGAACTTTACTATTTCTATTATCTCTAATCTCAATCGTTTCTGAGGACGAAGAATTTTAATCTGTTTAAGAAGTTTAAAAATAGTTGTATAAAATTTCGAGGTGTTCGCAATTACATCGAGGATAATAAAATCTTCAAGGCTAAACTTGAATAGGAAAAGTTATTTTTGAGGAATTACACGAATATTTGTAATTTTATATCAAGCAATTTCACCCTGTTATCTCGTTCCGTTGCGCGTATAAATATTTATAAAATTTATGAAGCGCCAATAAAACGACGATGAGAAAATTCTATTCGAATCCGGCAAGAATGAAAACAAGCGAATCGATGTACGAATTGTTTCGAATACTAAGATAATTTAATTTCGACGATTTTGCTTTAAGGCTCTTCGACGATCTTATTCATAGTGTTGCACAATTTCTGGCCCAAACCGTTTGAAAAAGGACGAGCGTGGATAATTGCGAGGACAGATCGATAGAGCGAGCTGGCTCGAGAATAGTACAATTACTAAAGTGCAGACGAGAGATAGTACATTATTAAAATTTTGCGATAACGCTGTATAATTTACATATGTTTTTAATACAACGAGATTGCAAAGAGGATCGATAAATTTGAAATTTATTGGAAGTATATGTATAAATTATATAAAATTACGAGCTGAACTTTAACATCGAGTTATAACGGTATAATTGTTTGATTTTTGAAATTGGAACTATAACTATAGCTATAGACGTTTACTTTAATAAATAGACTTTTCACTGGTAAGCAAATATGCATTGATAAATTGTAATAAAGCATCGATCAAGGTTTAATTTTTCTCGAAAAATTATGATCTATGACACGTCCATGTAAAAATGGAAAGAATAAAATTTTAATCTCACCTAAGATTAAGATATCTATAGCAATGTTATACCAATTGTCGATGATGCAAGAAGGCACCAAAGTACATTGAGCGAATAAAAATTATTTGGATAGAAGATATCTTAATTTTTCAAAATTAAATTTTAATCATCTTTTAAATGATATTTTATTGCTAGTCGAAAGCACTTAAACCGTGTTTAATTAACAAGAAAGAATCATCAACATTATTGGCGTCTTCAGACGTCGAACGGTTTGTCGAAGAGGACTGTAAACAAATTTTCTGTCTGGTAAAACAAACTTGAGAGTATCGCATAAATTTCTCTTTTTTTTTTTTCCTCTCTTTTCTTCATCGTACAAAGTAATCGCATCCCCGGACGAGACGAGAAACTCGGTTAGACGAGGAACATTTAACCGCTCGTGATTTTCATTTTTCCATGGCGGCCGATTCCACACGGCTCAGACATCGAACCGTACAAAGTCCGAGAGATCGATGATTGCGCTGCTCTCGCTCCTCTTCTCTTCGTAGCCGGGGTAAAACGACGAGTTTATCTCGCGACGATTAACCAACCGCGCCGATCAACAAACGGAACGAACAATACTCGCGTATCGAGCATTGTTTTTTAACACTTTTTATTTAATCCTTTTCTTGCCTTCTCATCTATTTTTATTAATGAGCTAAAACAGACCAGAGTTTTCCACCGCGTTTTTGACAAAGCTTTTAAAATTTCAACACTTGAACGCGGGAATATGTTACGTTGTTTAGAATTTTCGTTCAGGAAAAGTTCAGGATTAAATATTCATTTCGACGAATAATGGAGTTACCGTTAAAATTGTACCATTAATAATTATTATCGATATTTCACAACCGATAAAATTTAAATCAGCTATACGCAAACAAGCTGATACGAATCGATTAATTTATTCCTGACATCGTATCGTTATAAATAAATCATCCTCGCCTCCATTCTTTTCATTCGAAAGAGAATTTACCGACCAAATTACACATCCATTCCAACGCTATTAATAATAAACGTTAACAAAAATTATTCCCCCCGATAATAAATAAATCGACGAGATAGAGTCAACCTCGAGAACGGGAAGATAAACACGGGAAAACGCATTGGTGAAAGAGAGATTCGGAAAAGGAAATATCGAGAAACCGACAGAGAGAGAAGAAAGAGAGGCATGGAAACAGAACGCGAGAAGGAGGAGGAATGGCGCGCGAGAAAGAGAGAGAGAGAGAGAGAGAGCGACGTCTATCTATAGAAGCTCGACTACTGGATGGGATAATTGCGTGGGGGGTGAAGTTGCAATCGCACATGCAACTGGTGGTGAGGGGTCCCCTCCTCCTCTTTCGGCCGCCAACAGGGGGTTAGGCGGGCGTAATGGGCGCGTGCACACACGTGTAAGGTGCATCTATGTGATCGTCGAGGAAAATCACGGGACGATGTCAACGACCCAACGTTCGCCGACGATCTTCATCGTTTTCAACCTCGATGCCTCGCGACGTCCATCGTCATCGTCGCCTCGCGGCGACACACAAGCGGCTACGCCTCGTTATTTCGCTTTTACCCCGACGGATAAATCGCGGCCTCCGCAAGGAATTTAATTACGAGCTCCGTGTGTAATTACTGGCGCGGTCGTAACACCGACAGGTTGGGGCGGAGGGGGGGGGAAGGTTTTGTGGATATCGCTGGATTTTTTTTCTTCTTTCTTTTTTTTTTTTTTTAACAAATTCGCTTTTTCATCCCGCACGGAATTCGATAATGGAGAATGATGTTTGTAGATGTTTTTTCTTTTTCTTTTTTTTTTTTTTTTTTTTATTAGAGGAGATTAAATTCGAATAATTTTTGTTTCGAAGTTATTTTTTTCGAGAGGGGGAGGGAGACGAGACGAGAAAGATGTTTCAGATGTGTGATTTTGTGGTTAATGTTTCGTTTTATGGGATAAACGGGAGATAAGAAATCATTTGCATCTTTTATTGCAGAATATGAAAGGCCGACTTATGAAATGTCTACTATGTAATAATCGGTTAAGCCGAATGACTTCAAGGATATATATATATATATATACGAAGACAGATGTAGCGAGTTATTTTATATTCGAGGATAGAAAAAAGTGTTGTCCTTTTTTTTTTTTTTTTTCTTCTTTACTTCATTCGTTATTCAATTCGCTATGCAATATATTATGTACCTCTTTACCGCGGATATCGTAATCTCGCGGAGAAATCATTTATTATATACGTAATTATTTAACGCTAGAATTATTAATACTAACACTCGATATAGCAGATTTTCTTTTTTTTTATTTCTTGGATTTTTAATTCGGTTTAAATTAATTGGTTAAGTAGTTGAAGTTGGATAATTTGATAATTATAGAGAAAAAAATAACCAGAGAATTAATTAATAATTGCTCACTCGTTAAATTATACGCCTTGTAACAGTTCCAGATGTGTTGATTTCATAAAAATTTTACTCAAAAATTTAATCTAACGACGAATCCAATTTCGAGTAATTCAAACTTACGCTCTTACTTCTGTTCCAAAAACCAAACGGAACCACTTAGGGTAATTGAAGGAGCAGCCATTCCAACATCGTTGCAATACATTAAAAGCATCGACGTTCCCCATAAATTGCATCTCGTTTATAGGTTCCCCCGTTTCGAGTTTAAACACGTTCCTCGGCCATTATCCGAAAAACACGATCCCTGACCCGGTTCGTAAATTCGATTAGAATTGGCAAACAAGAACGTTTACATCTCGAAAATCAGTCAGAAAAACGCAAACCCAATCTTATCGCAAACTCTTCAAATCATATCGAACTTACGTGTGCAAAGATGTCCTTCGTGTATATACGAGGAAGCCGACTGTCAAAAACAGCCTCCCCCTCGAAGAAGATCAGCATTGACGTAAGATGTAACAATAATCGTGGACGACATATAAGGATAAACGAGAAAAGAGAAGAACGAGATAATCAATCGTGTCGGAAGGAGCGGAGAAAAATGAAAGAATACGCGTTCGAAGAAATTGTTCTTCCTGAAATTCCAATTCAACGATCGATCGTTGGATCAACTCCCCTCTTATCTCATTGTCCTTCTAGAAAATCTAGATCATAGAAATATTAAAATTACAATCGATTACCATTACCATAATATCTATTATCGCCGTATTTTATCGAGCACAGATCTTTCCTCCTCTCAACTTTCAACTCCTCCACCACTTGAACGGCCTTCCACCGTTTGGAAAGATAAGCGAAAATGATAAAAAAATTACCATCATCATAGAAAGAGCATCGGCCATCAATTATTCCTTTCTTTATTCAATTTTTTTTCCCCTCTCTTTTTCTTTTTTTTACCGTTCCTTCTCCTCTCCTCGCCTCGCGTCTTCGTCGTACGGTTTCTTCTTCTTCTTTTTCCCCCCCTACCGATATTAGGCCCCTCCCCCGTCTCTTCCACCGCCGTGTATTTACGTCTCCATCGCTCGTCCTCGAACTCGTGCATTTGCGAGTTTGTACTCCCGATAACAGGATCGATAAACATCGTTACTATTACAAACAGCGCGTCGCGCTGTGCGCTAACTATGACGCCTCTCGAGTCTCAAGGATATTGTTACCTGCATCGATCCCATTCCCTCTCTCTCTCTCTCTCTCCCGCGATCCTTATCGGTAGCGTACGATCGGTAGCGTTCTCCATCGTGAGCGCGGAAGTGCACGCCCTCCTCCACGCGCAGCCTTTTTTTTTTTTTTTTTTTTTTTTTAGCAACGATAGATGCAACGAGATCGTGGCACCATAATTCTGAATGGATGTTTCACGGCGATGTAGCGATGCAGATTGGAAAAATTGAGAATTTTTATTTCGAGAATCAACTTAGTAGAATGATATAACGAAGGATTTGAATGAAGGCGTTTTACATTAGGAAGAGAATAAATTTTATACTTTTTCCTAAGTTAAGTTGGATGAAATG